GTACTCAAGTAAAAGTAAAAAGTAGCTTATTTCAAATGTAGTCAGAGTAAAAGTTACTTAGTTACTTTTTTGACTGTGCAAGGACGGGCTCTTCTGAATAGTTAAAAAAAATACAATGGGGTATAAATGTCAAAGTGGCCGTTTTTTTAATGAACAAATATGCATATTGAAGTACAAAGGCAGTTACACTGCAAACTAGTAACATAAATTAGGTTATAGTCACAAGCCCATGACTTTTCCCTGAATTCTTATTTAGAGCAGCTGATTTTTAAAGTTAGCAGAGTTCATCTTTGGTAGTGGGTTCACTCACTCATTTAAAGATATCGGCCAGAGGCAAAATTTGTTTGAGCAGCATGTGTAAATGTGTATTAAAATCTCAGATGAAAAAGGTTTTTGGATTTTGACGGCTGGAATTGTAAGAAAATCTGATGTTTGTGACCGGCGCAGGAAAAACAGAAACTAACGTCCGGTCTAAGCCCTGGGCAGCTGTTGACGTTTCACATGGAGCTCTGCTGAAACAGCTGTGGTAAACAACGCCTGGCTCCGCTGTTTCTGCGTTAGCGTTATAGCAGAAAACAATGTGTCATCAATCAGATGTAGCTTTTGAAGCCTCTACTAGTCCATCAGATTTGTTTTTTCTCTGGGATACGGCGACGAGAACGGATATTAGATTACTGGAGAAGTTCAACCGAACTCCGACCCCGCCAGCTGGATATCACTACCAGAGGTACAGACATGTTTTAGACCGTTTGACTCAGAAGACCTGCGACCTGATTTGGACATAGAGGAGGATTCTTTTCATCTTCAGAACCAAAATCGGTACAGTTTGTTTATTTTCTTAAATATTTCATTTCTGTGCTCCACTGGGTGCTCTAAGCTGACAAGTTTTCAGCTGGTTTTAGCTCCATCATGTGTCCCAATATAGTTCAGTAATCTACAGTTTTAATGCTGTGTGTATTTATTTACATAACTCTGGAAAATATTTAACCAACAATTTACCAGAATAAATCTTCCTGATGCTGGAGTAACTCCTTAGCTCAACTTGTTGTTTGCACTAATCCAGGATGTCATGGAGGTTTTAATGTTGAAATATAGAGATCATCTTTTAGATTATATCTGTGTGTGTGTGTGTGTGTGTGTGTGTGTGTGTGTGTGTGTGTGTTTGTGTGTGTGTGTGCGTCGTAGCTTTCCCAAAGGACTTGTTCTTTCCTTACTGGAGCGAACACAGTTAGTTTTGCTGCAGTCATGCTAACGGGACTCGTCTGGAGTCCAGAAGTAGCGGTGCGGTTCTAGATGGATTTATAGATGTAGGTTATTATTTTAGATCAGACCTGCCTGTTATTTAAAAATGCGTGTAGGACACAGACACATGGCTCAGACCTTTTGCTGCAGCTGTAAACACAATTTTACGTAATAATTAGGAGCATGAAAGTAAACAAATAACAGTGATTCACAATATTAGCATCAGCAGCTAGCTTGTTTTACGTGCTGGAGTGGCGTATGTGAAACACAGTTCTTCACTGTCTGGAGGAGAGGATTTGGATTTTCTGTAATGATTTATGACAAAAGTCCTTAATAAAATAAAAAACTGGACCCAGTACATGTTTATATAGATAATAAAGTGTAGTTATTTTGCATTTCTACAATTTTAATGCCGAGCCAATACCTTTAACCCTTCACCACTGAAACCAGTTTGTTCATCCCAATCCTCCTAAATAATCCTCCAGTAATCCAACTGGAATCCTTAAGGGTCCCGTAACGTCCATCCTGTCAGAATAGGCCTTGGGAGCCCAGGTGTTACTAGAACTAATGGTATCTCCTCACCAGCGTGAGCCTCCAAACTGTGAAGGTTGGACTCCAAACATGAACTTTAAATTCATGCATTTATCTCCTCTTGTAACACTTTAACATGTTTTAAAAGGCTTGTATCATCATAAGTTACACCTCCCAGACCAAAGATAGGTCCAATATAAGATAAAACATCATAAACACTGCAGAGACATCATTGTTTATTAAATATAAGTTATTTTCCTGAGCCATTACTTCAGCCAAGATATAGGCTGCATGGATTTGATGAAGCCATGCTGTCTTATGCAGTCCCACACAAACACACACACCGCAGCAGCATGCTAGAATCATGTGAATGACTAATTTAACTACACTGAACTGCTTTTGTAATAATTTAATCTCTTACTCTGGAGTAAAATAAAGAAACAAGCTAAATCATCACATATCTGTGGCATCAAGAAGCAACTTCTGAGTTCAAACACAGGGATGGAGCACAATGTTTACACCTGAACAGTATCAGGATTAACTCACAGAGGCCTGCAGGTCTTCTGTTTTGTGAGCAGAGCGCTGATAATCGGCTTCTTAGGAGCGCTAAATGTAATTTTGCCGCTTCCGTGCGCGGTAAGGAAACACATTTCAAACACGGAACCGAGTCTGGTTGTCATGGTGTAGGAGGTGGAGATGATGGACCATGTGTGGTTGAGCTGAGCAGGAGGAAAAATGCAGGCTTCAGTAAAAGTAAAAATGGTTTAATGGCAGGATGGGATGAACAGGAAACACCAGCAAACAGCAACAATGAACTGACAAAGGACAGGGGAAAAACAGGTGGTTTAAGTACAGAGGGCTAATTAGGGACACATGGGCAGGTAAACGAGGGACAGGTGAGAACAATAAGAGCAATCATGGCAGGAGAGGAACACAGTCAGGCGGGCAGGGGCAGATCGTGACAGTACCCTCCCCTTAAGGGCGGATACCAGACGCCCATAAGGCTACACGACACAGGAGACGGAGACTCGAAGACTGGACATGACAGAAACGAGACTGGACAGGGACTGGACGGGGACTCGAAGACTGAACAGGAACAGGAACATGACTGGACTTGAGCAGGCGTGGGACCCAGGCAGAGAACTGCAGGAGCAGGCGTGGGACCCAGGCAGAGAACTGCAGCAGTAGGCGTGGGACCCAGCAGGGGCTGCAGCAGTAGGCGTGGGACCCAGGCAGAGAACTGCAGGAGCAGGCGTGGGACCCAGGCAGAGAACTGCAGGAGCAGGCGTGGGACCCAGGCAGAGAACTGCAGGAGCAGGCGTGGGACCCAGGCAGAGAACTGCAGGAGCAGGCGTGGGACCCAGGCAGAGAACTGCAGGAGCAGGCGTGGGACCCAGGCAGAGAACTGCAGGAGCAGGCGTGGGACCCAGGCAGAGAACTGCAGGAGCAGGCGTGGGACCCAGGCAGAGAACTGCGGCAGTAGGCGTGGGACCCAGGCAGAGAACTGCAGGAGCAGGCGTGGGACCCAGGCAGAGAACTGCAGGAGCAGGCGTGGGACCCAGCAGAGGCTGCAGCAGCACGAGACCTGCAGGCATAACCCCCACAGCGTGGACTAGGAAGTGGACGAACGGCAGGAGCGACGCCAGAAAACCAGGATCGGCGGCAGGCACTCGACAGCCGGTCAGAGCAGGTGCACGATTCGCTGGATCTCCGGCAGAGGCTTGGGTGCAGGGAAGCAGGAGAAGAGCGGGGAGACCAGCCCTACCACCCCGGAGAACGATGGCATGCGTAGGGGGTGTAACTCCTTCAAAGCTCCAGGATCCGCGGCTTCCATGACACAAACGGGACGGGGCCAGAAAGCAGGAGAGGAGAAGGAATTTGACCACCCCGGGAACGAGTAGGATGCGCCGAACCCCCTCAATGGTTCGACCACCCCGGAGAACAGGTAGGATGCGCCAAACACACTGAGTCCAGAATCTCCCTCCGCTAAAGGAGAAAAAGTAAAAAAATTAATCCTCCAGGGAGATGTAAAAAAAACTCACCACAGGTCCAGGTTGTGGTCAGTTCATTCTGTCACTGTGTAGGAGGTAGAGATGATGGACCATGTGTGGTTGAGCTGAGCAGGAGGAAAAATGCAGGCTTCAGTAAAAGTAAAAATGGTTTAATGGCAGGATGGGATGAACAGGCAACACCAGCAAACAGCAACAATGAACTGACAAAGGGCAGGGGGCAAAACAGGTGGTTTAAGTACAGAGGGCTAATTAGGGACACATGGGCAGGTAAACGAAGGACAGGTGAGAACAATAAGAGCAATCATGGCAGGAGAGGAACACAGTCAGGCGGGCAGGGGCAGATCGTGACACTGGTTGCCGAACCGAGCAGAATTCTGATGACGTCACACCGGTGTGCGAAGGTGCGGGTTCCAACCCACAGGAGAGGAGGGAGAGAGGAGGTAAACAGCGAGTGGATCACAGGGACTGAACTTATGTTTTTGAGCAAAACTGCAGTAAAAATGACCGTTTGTCCTCATTATCTAAAGTGTACACCCCACCCCCCCGGTTTAGACGTGGCGCTCATGCAGGTGTCTCTTTCTGTTCCAACGCTGCTACACGTAATATTTTTAATTTATTAAAGGAGACATAACATGCTTTTAAGTTATTCCTTTTTACATCTAAATCCTTCAGTTGGGGGTCTAAAAACAGTGGAACTGCAGTTCTTTGGTCTGATTTCCTCATTATTGTTGCTCTACAGACCCTCACCTACCCCTGTTCTGAGGAGAGTCTTGAGAACGAGCCGTTTTTGGGTACTGTCTCTTTAAACTGGAGGAGGAGCTGTAAACTCCGCCCCCCTCTATAGTGCAGACCTGTACTCTCCTCCACCAGCCGGACTTTGTAGTTCTATAGAGAAATCATTATTTAGCATAGCAGATTTAGCATAGCATATTAGCATTTTTAAAACATGTGGGGAGAGTAGTTAATCAAGCTGTTCCATGGCTGCTAACTCTCTCATGCATTTGTCTGTAGTCACTCACACACACCCGTCACGGCCGACGGAGGGACAAGTGAGCAGGCACGTGCGCGCACACACACACATCCGTCACGGCCGACGAGACAAGCGAGCAGGCTCGCGCACGCGCACACACACGAGGAATGCTGCTTGCTTATTTATTTCTATAAAAAATGTTTTAAAAAATGATACAGCTCATTAAAACACCATTAAAAGAATACATTTTATTAAGATCTCTATCTATATATATATATACATACATATAATTATAAATAATTTTATAAGTAGTCTTATTTAATATTGGGTGTCTTAATGGCTGAAAATGGATAAAAAGCAGTTACATTTTAATTTAAAGATTTGAGATTCTAGTCAAAAATAAAGAACATTCCTCCAAATGTTATTTAATGTGATCATTATAATTCTAATGCTTAGAACTTTGTTTTTATTGTCTGCAATGCGTAGCCTATATCTTTAGTAAATGTGTTTAGCTGTAAAGTGGTAATTCTCTCTAATGTGTACAGAGAGGTGGACATCAGTGCTGCAGTGAAATTCCCAAGATCAGTCTGCTTTGCTAACAAATATAGTTAAATCTTACCTGCATTCTAAATAAATACCGTTAGGTGGAAACATCAGTAGGCATTGAGTTATTGATACAATCCCTAACAGCCAGAATGGAAGAAGTGCATGCTGGGTCATCCTGGATCTGAGCCTGTTCTGTGTATTTACCTACAGGATGCAATAAATGTCTACAAGGCGGAGTTTGGACCATTACATCTAAAAGAAAACATACAATCAGTGATTTTTTTATTGTTTACATTAAAATACAAATTTTCTAAGTATTAACCTCACAGCAATAAGTAGAACAATATAATAAACAGGCTTTAGTAGTTAAACAGGCGTTGTGCACACAGGTGCTTTGTGTCCCGGTGTTGGTGGTATCTAGGTCTCAGAGTTCCTGTCCTCCTGCCGTCTTCTGTTGTCCTCAGGATACGGATTGATGTTTCCTGATGATGAGGGAGGGGCAGTATGTGGGCTTCAAACTGGTCCTGGATAACAGTGGGAGACCTCCGTTGTCTGAATACTGAGACCAGAGAGTTGGTGAGATGCAGATCTTCTCTACCTCATCTAGAAACGGAGTTGGTTCAGGGAAAACTTTTCCAAAGACCAGTTCCATGATGTCATCGCCATATTCTGCAATGATAGACAATAACTTTAATGACATATTTTGTTTACAAGCAGCTTTAGGAAAGTCGTTTCTTTAGCTTTCATGTTTATAGTCACGTTTGAGTTTGTTCACAAGTTCACTTTGCTGCAGTGACTTCATATTCTTACAAATGTAATAAAATAGTGACACTAAAATTATACAAATGATTCCTTATGAAAGGAAGCTCATTAGAGAGCAGCGCAGACAGACTTACTACATGCTGCAGCTGTTTTTGTAGGCCAGCTGCTGCTGAATTTGGGGAAAGTTATTCTGCACACATCCAGATCAGATGGTCGATTACAGAAAATAATGTAATTCAATAATTTCTAAACAGACTAAACAAGTAAAACATCAAATAAATCACTCTGCTGTCATCAGACGGAGTGATTCAAGGGGTGAGGTGTTCTTAATGATGAGGGTGGCTGAGGTGTGTCATCACTCACTTTGGTCTGGTCCAGACCGTCTCTTTACTGGTGCGTCTCCTTCCTCAGTAGGTGACGTGAGCTCCAACATCTGAGCGTTCTGTGTTCCTTAGAGGAGAAGAAAAGTAACATTAGCAAGCTGGCTAAATTATTTTTACTAGCATCTCAAGGACTTGGAGAAGCAGATCTTCACTTACCTAAACATCAGACCAGTTTGTCCCAGCTGAGCTCATCAGGGCGTTAGTCTGACAGCCTGTCAGTGAAACACGGCTCCAGACTTCTGGATGTTGACTCTAAAAAGCAAAGGAGCATTTTTACTGTTGTTTTAATTATTTTACAGCTGATTTGATCAGCTTTCCGATGCTCACGCTCATACAGACGGTGAGCTTTGCTGCGTCTGACTGATGCAGAGTTCGTTTTTATATCTGCAGTGAGACAAAAAACTAACCTCACTTCACTCAGAGATTGTTCTTTAAAACTATTAAATCCACTGTGTTGACGCACTTTAATGACTTTGTCACGCTGCATTTTAGCTGATATGGGACTTTATTTACTGGATGCTAAGATTACATCACACTCACGTAAAATAACACACAGGCTCTCTGCTGCTACAATCAGTGGATGTACATCTGGTGTAAAAGAAGGCGTTGATCAGAAATCACGTTTTATTCCACGAAAATCAGCCAAATCCACATTAACCTGGGTGCTAACTTTACTAGCATACTGTGCTAGCGATAGCAAGCCGGATGCTAACGCTTTAGTGCTGCTAATACCCGTAAATCTAAAGTAAAGTTTGTCGACATTTTAGAGTGATATGAAGCTTACCGCTCTGCTGCTGTGTCCCGGTGCTGTCACATTCAGATGGAAATGACTCCTTTTAGATAGATGAAGCCCTCGGTACTTACTAGCCAGGAGACACGAACGAACCACGCGCGCACACACACACACACACACACACACACACACACACACACACACACACACACACACACACACACACACACACACACACACACACACACACTACTTTTTCTTGTTTTTTCTTAGCAGTAGTGTCATCAGCTCCTGGGTTTAAATACTGCCACACCACCCTTCCTTAAAACGAGGAACAGTTTTGAGCTGTGTGTGGCTAAAATAACCAGACATTCTGCATTTTTCCAATAGGACTACAAAAAATCTTAGCGAGATGAAAAAATGGCGGATTGGCTCTGTGTTTAGCCGAGGGCCATTACCATATTTGGTAGTTATCCTGACGAAATAAATTAGATAGATAATTTGAAAAACTGAACGGGTGGACAAATATGCCCAAAACTTAATTATTAAATATCTAAATAGCAACTCCAGTGAATAATATAAGCCTTTTTGCTCACTTAGACACTTAAAATGTGAAACACACTGTGTTAACGGATAAAAAAGTGGGTTTTTCATGTTGTCTCCTTTAAGCCTACAATTTATTTTTACTCAGTAACGGATATGATTTAAAATGTAGCGAATTACAATTCTTTTTTAAAAACTTACTCAAGTAAAAGTAAAAGTACAGATTTTATAAACGACTTAAAAAGTATAAATTTACAAAAAAGCTACTCAATTACAGTAACGTGAGTAAATGTAATTCGTTACTTTCCACCTCTGATGATAACCATTCGTTTTTAAAATCATTATATACAATATTCCTTTTTATATTTTATTTTTTGTTCTTGCCTTGTGATTTTTTTATCTTGAATACCACAGAAAACTATTTCTACATAATTATGATCCTAAGTCATAATTATGAAATAGCTAAGTCATAGAAGATATATTTTTTATCAGATTGACACAAATGGGCTTCCATACATTGCATAAGATTTGCTCAAATAAAAAACAATCTGAGTTCAAAGTCAAAACATGATGAATAAACTCATTTATTGTGTTATGAGACAACATTTACAAACATTTAATGTGCAAGTGTAGCTGTAACTGCCTACTGACAGCAACATGCCCTGAAAAAATCTCATTGTAATGTTACAAAAAGAAAAACAAGCCATTGGCTAACTGAATACATCAGGTAAGTAGTTTGAGAAGACTACAAGTTATTTGAAGACAAAAAGGATCTAAATGTGTATTAAGGTGTGTGTGTGTGTGTGGGGGGGGGGGGGGGGATTGTTTTAGGAGAGAATAAAGAACTATTCACATATTAGCTAAATAAATGTCATTTGCCGTTTGTGAAGGAAGAAAAATGATCATATTTACAAATATGACAATACATAACTGCCTCAAGAAATAATTGTAATTTAAAAATTCTGTTAATGTACAAATGTTTTCTAAATCACAGCAAACTAACAAAAGCACTTGTGGCTTTATAAATTAACAAAAATCATGTTCAAACGTAATGGTTTTAAATGCAATGCTTAACTTGTTTAATGTGAATGCTTGCCTAAAAAAATGGATGCTTTATTTTCAGAACAACACTTTTTTTCACCACACGACATCTGGCCAGAAGTGACTGAGCTACAACTTGATAACTCAACTGAGTTAAACAAAGAAACATTCAGTGCTGCAGGAAAAATAAACCATAAAATACCCACGATCTGCAGAAATTAGAACGGATGGAAAACCTCCAGCACAGTCAGTGGTTGCAAATATCAGTAAAAAGTGAACAATCAATAGCTGAAAATACAATCATTAAATATACATTCATGTGCACTGACTTTAGAAATAATTATTGAAAAGGATCGATTCATCGGGTTTTTTTCTTCAAAAAATAAAAATTAAAAAGAAGCAATTATGAAAAAAATCAAAACTATGAAAAAAACCTTACATAAGGGCTATTCATATTAAAAATGAGTACTAAACATTGACGGACTGGATCTTTATATTGTTAACAGTTAACCCTTATAATAAAACATTAATCTTCCTTAATGAATTAAAAATATTAGGGCTGCATTAGGCGTTGCTAGGCAGGTTGTCATCCCAGTGTTTAACATGTTCTCTCACACATACATCTGATTGAATCTCATCTAATCGATAACTGAATAGCATTTTCTGTAACAGCATAAATGATTTAAAGTAACATTTTTATACCGACAACACCGGTTCTCTGATCTTCTTGGTTGTTGTCCCACTTCTGCAGTTTTGTTTACAACATCTGTCAGATTCAACGCGTGGTCCTTAAAAAAACCTTTTCTCTGTTATTCTTCGCTCTAATCCAGTCTTTACAGAGAGAGCCCGCCGTTTCTCTTGTTTCTGCCACCCTTTCCTCTTCACATTATAATCATCGGGAAGCGTTCGTTACTGGATGGCTTCTACGTAATTAGCAGGATAAAGACCCGTTTTTCCATCCTTCAGTCGACCTTTGCACCAACCCTGATCGTCCTCTTCGCCAATTTTGGTGAGTTCGTCACCTGAAGTAAAAACTCATCATTAGTTTTTATTAAAAAAAAAAAACAGATTTCATTAAAGGTGTGGAACACTGAAAAACATTTTTAATGATTTTTTTATTATAATCGGTCACTCAGTTTTTCATGCAAGTTGAACATGAAAATAGTCTCCTACACCTATCTCCAGCATTAGCTTCAGATAGAAAATAGACAGTGAAACACTAGCATTTGAAAAGCCTTACAGATCTACATCACTTAACATCCATGGACTCACGACGGGGAAGGCTGTTGTTGGTTTAGCGTCCAGGAAACAGCAGAGAACGTCTCAGCTAGCAGAAGCTAACTGTTAGCATTAGCAACTTCACCACACAGCAAAACCCCTCCAGACTTGTGTTATTTGTGGAAATAAAACATCCATGTTGCACAGCAAACAGAGTCATTGCTAGAATCACGTTGCTGTTATCCAATCAAAGGGGAGATGTTCAAATATCAGGAAATAAGACTTAAAGACCTGCTGTGTGATGCTCAGCTGTGATGTGGCCTACCGCTAGATCCTGGAAATGGTGCACAAGTGTTTTCACTCCCAGAGAACGACTTACGAGACATTCATTCCTACTAGAGACCACTGCAAATGGATTGATTAAATGAGTGGTCCACACCTTTAAACCAAAACACATACTCTGCTGTTACAGACCTGCTTTGAAGCTGAGCTCATCCTGCTCCTGTCCTTCGTAGTCGTAAAGAGCTCTGACAGGAACAGAAACGACCGGAGACTCCGGCTCGTCCTCAAACGGATTACCATCGCCGTTAGCAGAAAAAGGGTTACCAACCGGGTCTTCGTCCGACCAGTCTGGAGTCTTCTCTGTACTGCTCGCACTGAACAAACAAAACAAAAATTCAACAAAATGTACTTTTTAAATTTGCATAAAAAATATCTAGGCATGCCACAGTTTAATGAGTCAAAATATTTAAAAAAAAAACCTCTAAATTCATGATCAGTTATAAAATCTACCATGAAATGGAAAAAAAATGCAATAATTGGTTCAAGCATTATTTCCTCCATGCTTTTGAAAAACCAAGATGTTCTAGTAAAAATGCAGACGAGACTTTAGGACAGCGAGAAAAGGAAAAACAACAACAGAACAAGAGGAAGTCAGAGAAAAACATAAAACCAAGCTAGAAAAATCATTCTGAATGCATGATTGGAGTTTGAGCCTGAACGGCCAGCAGAGGGAGCCACCTAGACAGACAAACAGCTGAAAAACAATAAATACATCAACACTAAGGTACTTTACAGTCAGAGCAGTCAGCAGATTCAATCAACACTAATTATAATATATTATTTGAAATAATATATTTGTCTTTTCAGCTGAAAGCCAATTGAAAATATCTCAAATAAAAGATGGTGTTTGCTCAGAATCTGACTGTAAGATGGAAACAGACAGGATTTTGTTCCCACAGCAGAAACATGCGCTTCCATGCGCACGGCACTTAACATTCTGCAAAAACACAAAACTGTTAGGAGTGTGGGACAGACACACACAGACGTTTGTGTGCAGCACCATTCAGAGACCATGCAGAGCAACATGACAACCTGCAACCTGAGGAACACGAAGGAAGGAAATGCGTCACCGAGACAAAGAAAAACAAGACGGGGTACGAATGGTGATCGAAGTAAAAGAAGAAAAGGGCAAGGAGGCTGCAGATGGGAGGAGTGTTTTCTCCTGTTCACCAACGTTTTAATTTCCTGTTTATTCTCAGTGACGTGGTTTTCTAAGGCCTCCTGCTTCTCCTCAGCCGTCTCCTCGTCCTCGTCCTCGTCGTCCTCAAAAGGGTTTGTGTTCACTGGTGCTGTTATAGTGGGCACAGTCAGGCTGACAACATGGAACACAGTGAGAGATGGTTTGTTGACATGCTCACATATAAACACATGAGAAGTAAACCAGCTGAGGACAAAGACAAATGACGTTAGGTCCATGGCGTAGCCGACGAAGGGTCTAGATCCGTCAGCAGGATGCACGTTCATCAACCAGAAGTAATACTGGGAGGGAGATGTGCCTGACTCTAGAGCCACATGCAGTGTTGCCAACTTAGCGACTTGCTGTTCCTAACGACTTTTTGACCCCCCTCAACGACTTTTTTCCAAAAAGCGCCTAGCGACAAACCTAGCGACATTTCTCAGGACCCGTTGCTACTTTCTGTAGAACTTTCTTGTAGATATTCCCCACAGATTAGCAACAAAGAAGCCATTTGCACTCTGAACCGTTCTTCCAGGAGTAAGGAAAGAACGATAATCTGCACATGTGCACGAGGACTGACCAATCATAAACCGTTTTCGGCCGAGCTGATTCGCCGAAGACAAAGGTACAGTTGCAGAGCTGGAGACCGCCGATTTACGTCTGCTGCTGCAGACTCACGCTTCTACTAGAGACGGCGCAGGCGTCAACCTGCGATCTCTGGTTCTGCAGCCGTCAGACACTTTGGCTTGTCCTGCATTTGGCAAATACAGTCATCGGGAGTTTCAACTACCGTCCCGTTTACACACGCAGCTCTGTGGCTCATCTGTATTTCCTTCAGTGACACAGGGATGGTTATACCATGAGACTCCCGCTCCCTTTTTCTCAGTGTGCCGTTATTATCACGATGGAGAGAATACAAAACAGAGAAGTTGAGAAACTATGAGGTGCAAAAACCCCCAGCTTTTTAGGAAAATGTCTGTGAGAATGAGGAGAGCAGGAGGTCTGAGTTATATCCTACAACAGAACTGTTTGGATCACCACATCATACCTGTCTTAATGTCACTTTATTGGTAGTTTTGGAATTTATTGTACATATCAAAGCAATTTGGGCCATTTTAGTCATACTAATAACTTTAACACATAACAGTTTTTATTTTCCTCCCTTTTAGTCCTGTGTGTGTGTGTGTGTATATATATATATATATATATATATATATATATATATATATATATACACACACACACACACACACACACACACACATATATATACATATATATATCTTTTAGATTCTATGGGGTAAATGAATGCCAATGTGGCGTGATGACATCATCAATATGTAAATTAACACATGACATCATCTGGCGACATCTAGCGACTTTTGGGGGGAACTTCAGCTACTTTCAGTCAAAAACAGTTGGCAACACTGGCCACATGCACGTCATCAATTCAGCCACTTTCTCTGTGATGCAAACAAAAACACCTGGCCAATCATCTAGCACCAAAGCCAAAATCAAAATGCAGGCGGAGGAAGGAACGGAGCTTTTAACTGCCGATTTTTGGCCGATTTGTAACATTGAATTTGTCTTTTTTAAACCAGTGTGTGTTTGTTCGTTACTGTCTACAAATATTGCCCATCATTTTTTATCTGAAGGCAAACACAGCTGACATGGAGCCTAAGTCACACCCATCTACTCCCAGACCACGGGTTCCAGGAAACAAGAGAAAAATGAATGCAAGTCAACGGGGCTAAAAATGCTATTTTCTAATCCCGCTTGTTATGTGTCATGGATTTCATATTTGATGTTGGTTAATTTCAAACTGAGGCAAAAGTTATTTTAGGTTTTGCAGGGTTTTTCCTGGCTCAAATTGAGGCAGAGGTGGTACCATCCTGACCATGCGCCAGCACATGCATACTCCGTGCATTAAACCGCCTCACTTTTTTAAAGGCAAAAAATTATAAAAGTCTCAATAATATGCATTAGATTGGTGTCGAGTTCCCCCTTTCCCATCTGATATTTATAGTTTAAAAAAAAGGTTAAATATTTGACCTACATTTCAGTAACATTTTAGGTTTGTGTTAACAACACTCATCTTAGTCTAAATAACACGTTTTGCCTAATTGGTCCCCAAAATGCCTTGAAATGGCCCTGGGTGTGTGACTGAGTTTTGAAGGTGATCTGAATTGTATCAGATGTATAAATATGACATGTGTATAACTTATGGTTTTATACAGGTAAAAACGTGTAGTGGAGATAAATCTACCTACATTTGACTTTGCAACACTTTGTTTTGTTTTCTTGTTTTTATTTAACTATTTTCCTGTCCTGTGTCTCTCATCTTCCTGCATCTCCTCTAAACTCTCCAGAAAAACTGTTGCCTGGATTCTTACTTTTTCACCTCATCATTTACTTTTGAGCAGATCAAAGGGATCTCCCGACTGCAAAGCGTAGTGCGCGTTTGGATGCTGCGTCAGTGAGGTGAAATCACCGTAGCACACGATGAACGATCAGGAACGATTAAAAGACAGAGTACCAGAGGATATAAACGGATATGAACAATCATGTGTTAATAATAATGTTTTGTTGCGCCACCTTGAGAATGTATTGTGCGCCGGATGCAGCGGGCGCACCAACGATCAGCGCTCTGTGTCCTCTCCGCTCCACAGAATCCTGCTACGCTGAGAGTCCATAAATATTGTAATATAAGCAAAACTGGATCTTTCCCTGAAAGATATCTTGGCCCCCATAATTCGAACCCTGCTCCTGGATGAAAAACCGGACATTTTGATCAATGTAGGAAACCCCCCCGGGCGCCCCGAAGAGAGAGTGAAAAGTGGACATGTCCGGGGGAAAGAGGACGTACGGTCACCCTACAATAGCACCAACCATATATATGTACCAGCTAGCGAGAAAAGCAATTTTTGATCATTTTCTGCAGCGGTTTTAGCGCTTTTCGGTGCACCGCTGCTGATACAGCGCCCCTAAGGTGGCGCAACGCTGCAACTGCAGTTATCCATATTATAGCTGAGGGCAGAGTGAAATCAGGCTGGGGCAGCACAAAATTAGCTGGAGGCAGCCGCCGCGTAAATTTGAACGCAGGAAAAACCCTGTTTTGTGTGAAAATACGTCCAGGACTACAAATACGCATCACTAAAGTGGCAGCATTGAACCAGACACGCAGAAAAGCGGAGGACAAATGGCTGTGAGTTCAGCAAACTTTGAATCCTTCGTCCAGGAGGAAAGAACCACCATAAATCTGGTCATGTGGTAATTAGCAGCTACGCAAGGGGAGAGGAGATTATGAGGTGTTGTCATGTGTGACATACCAACGTCTGATTTGCAGTCAAGATAATTACAAACTTTTTCAAGCTGAAGCTCCAAGTACGTGACAGGCGTGATCAAAACACACATTGTTACTTTACATTTAAATTGAAGTACAACATATATGCGATCCAGGGCGTAAAAAAGTAGCTCTTTTAGTCCCGTTGACTTGCATTCATCTTTTTGTTCTTCTGGGCACCCACGAGTCAACCAGAAAGGGAGGGGACTCAGTAGGGATGAGCGAGTACACCACCATCTGTATCTGTTCAACCATCTAACTTAACTGTATCCGTATCTGTACTCGGAGTGGGCGTGGCCTAACCCGGAAATGGGTGTAGTTTAACCAATACGTTATTTTAAGTCTGATCAGAAGTTGCTATGTGTATTGTGTATTTGAAAACTATTTACAGAGCAGCCTCAGAGTTGAGTTTAAATGTTTTTGATCACAATAGTAAAGGAACTATTACAGAACAAGTTTTTCAATAAAATCAGAACATTAATATTTAAGTACATAGAGAGAGAGAGAGAGAGAGAGAGAGAGAGAGAGAGCGAGAGCGAGAGAGAGAGAGCCTCTCAAGATAAAAATCATGAGGCGCTTCACAAAAACAAAACATGTGAAATAGAAAAAAGAATTTAGAAAATGATTAAATTTATTTAAAATGAGCAAAAAATAAGACAATTGTGATTAAAAAATGTAAAGGAAGAGAGAGAGTGACTAGGAAAGAAGGAGTGGATCCTGAGGAAGAGGAGAGAGAGAGGAAAAAAAAACCCTGACCGGAGCGGAGATAGTGACTGACGCAGCACGAGCTGTTTTCAGCTCTGTCTTGTCAAATGCACCACGTACGTTACGAAAATCTTAACTTTAAATATCTTTAAAGTAACTTTAAAAAGAGGCGAACTGAAGAAAACCTAAGGAGTACTGAAGAAACGTGAGCAACAGTGAAGCAAGCACAGAGAGATCCGTTACTGTGTGTGCGTGTGTGTGTGTGTGTGTGTGTGTGCGTGGATGGATCGGACGCGGACTGAGCTCCCGGTGCAGAATTTTGTATGTTGGGAGGGGCGGGCGCTCTATTTGACTGGCCAATCACAGAGCGTGAAGACAGTCAGTTACCCTATGAGGATTTTCCTTCAGCACGATTACAGATATTTACGAGTTTTACTCGTTTCATGCTCGTACTCGTCAAAAATGTTTTATCCCTAAGACTTAGGCTCCCTACTGGATATCAAAATGTATACACATTAGGGCTGTCGCGGTAACCGCAAAAATGAAATATCGCAATATGAAGAAGCCCACCGCGCTGCATCATGGGCCACCGCGATTACTGAACTTGGTTCAACTCATTGATGCATGTTGAGAAGGATGGCTGCACTGGTATCAAAACGAAACGTTACTTCGCTCCTTTGGGAGCACTTTGGTTTTCAGTACGTCAGCTGCTGCGCAGCCAGAGTCCTTAGCCGAGACAGAGCTGCCACCAGCGGCAAAAATAAATAAATAAATAAATAAACGCTCGGAGACGTCCCGGACAAGCACTGCTTCTGCAGCCGTCCCGAAGAGAGTTTGAGCTGAGCTGGAGCTCACTCGCTACCTGCAGGAGGAATGCATCCACCCTAAAGAACCCCCCGACATGGTGGAGCAATAACCGGGAGAGATTCCCTTTGCTCGCCAGAGTCGCACGCAAGTACGTGTGCGTTAGTGCAACGAGCGCACCATCCGAGAGGGTTTTCAGTGTTGCTGCAAATGTTGCCACCCCTCTCAGATCCTCTCTCAAACCGTATATAATTAACATGCTGGTTTTCCTTGTGGGTAACAAGGACGTGACCGAGCTATAAATCACCGTCATTCGTGTGTGTGAAAGTGAAATGATAGTGCGCCCGCCCCCCGGCGCGCGTGCGCCCGGTACATGTAATTTTTCATGCTTGATTTTAAACAACTAAACAAAATGGGGACTTGTTTCTTATTTGTTAGATGCTGCAGCCAAATTTGCATTTAAAAGTTTAACCTCCTGAATTTTGTTGTTTTTAAGTTCAGTCGGACTCCGACTGTCGGAGAAACAAACGTTACTGCGATCTGTGTTGTTACTGCCCTTTGATCTGCATTCAGTAAAGTGTTATAAAAGAAGGCATGGCAATTTTTAACCTTTTTTAAATGTGTAAACATTATGTTTAGATAGTACTGCAATAAAAAAGGGCTGCAATAATATCGCACACCGCAATATTAAGCCACCCTGAATCACCGCAGGGGGAATTCCTCAACCGCGACAGCCCTAATACACATGCTCGTTGCATTTCAACGGAAAGTTTTCAATTTTAAAAATCAACTTTTTAAAAACGCAACTTCAAAATCTGCATAAAAACACCAACAAAACTCAGCTAAAGCTGTAGACCCAAATTCTGTTTGTTCAGCTTTTGCTCATTTAGAGAAAAATGTATAAAGTTCTTTTTGGACACTGTTTTTACACAAATGCAAGAAATAAGATGTTTGCTCGTAAAGTCTTGTTCTTTGTTTTTATAAGAGTTCTGTAACACCCAAAGGTCCCATTAGAGGGATAATAAAGGTTTACTCAACTCAAATATCACAGCAAACAACAAAAACTAAAGGGAGTGGAGGTTCAGCAAATTTATCATTTTTGGCTTTAAAAAAAGTCAATGAACCACTAATTATTATATTTACTTAAAGTAGTAATAAGCATAATTACTATTATTAAAACATTACATCAAATCAAACAAAATATACCTAAAAATGTCAAAAGCATCAAGCAGATATATATTAAATAATAATTGAATGCCAGTTTTAGGTTATTTAGAGTATCACATGATGCTAACTATTTCCTGCCAGTGAGAATTTCCACATAAAAAAATTCATAAAATAAAATAACCCAAAGGTCAGATCTTGTAAGGCAGGAAACGCTGAGTTTCTGCTCCCTGTTTACAGAACCATCGAAGCGAGTGCATCTGCAGCCATCAGCCGGCCCTCGAGAGCGCGAAGTGGAGAAGTGTGAACGCCTTTGTTTACTTAGTCATGCCAGGCTCTGGCGTTATTTCGACAAACACAGCCTCAGTGGGAGGCTGCTAGCTTGCAATTTGGAGAGTTCCTGTCAACAAACAGGCTAAACCTTCTAATCATGGATACAAGAGCTCAAATCTCTACTGGTGCCTTTGAACAGTGAGTTAAAAAAAAACAACCCACAAACGCACAAAAAGGTAAAAAAATAACTATTTACTCCTGAAAGTTTGGACTAAAATTAGATCAAATCTGAATGGTGCAACTATAAAAGTTACCAAAAAACCTGTGATAACAGAAACCGTGTTTTATGATGGCTACAGATGACGACGACAGAAAAGTTAAATCATAAATAACGCTGTAGGGGAAAGGCAGGAAATCAGCGATAGCAACATGTTGAGAGATCAGAGGTCAAATGCTTTCCATGCCTGTCATTCCCTTTGTCGACTCCTCTAAGACTCCTGTGATTTCTGAATACTTCCAACAGACAACAGATTAAAAACAAGCTCCAATAAATTAAGTAAAACGGAGCCCGACATCAAACTGACCCCTTAAAACTCAAATATCCACAAACCATCTAAATCTATTGGTACGTGATGACAGAATCATGTTATTTTCCCCTAATCTGTCATTTAATGATAGAGTTACATGTTTAGTGTTGTTGCCATAACACTCCAGATAAATGTCTTCAGAACAACAAGGATTACATCAGGTTATTAAAAACCGCTAATCAAACCTCATTCAGAGTCATATAAATGGAAATGATCATTTTGTGTAAAAGAATGGTAAAACATGGTGTCTAACGCAAAGGTTAGTTGCATCTCATTTTCCAGAAACTGTGACGTTTAACAAGATTTAATAAGCAGGTTTAATTTGAAATCTTCATCTTTATAGTTCATTAAAAACCGCTTACTGTATAGGTGTAAATATTAATCCTTCTTTCTTTGAATTTTCCAGGACAGAAATTACTGAAGGTGTGTGTGTGCGCACGTGTGATTTATTTCCACATTAGTTCTGGCTTGGTTTCAGCTATGTAACCTCAGCCAGCTGACCCCCACAGGAAAAATGTTCCCCAGCACAAACACAGCGTTGCCACGACAACGGCCCCTGACTGACACATGGTTCCTGTCGCTTTTATGTAAGAGTTGTTCATGTCAAGAGGCCTATCCTGCGATGCGTTGGATAATGTTGGATGTGTGCTGTGATGGGTTTTTAAGCGATCACTGGTCAGACGTTTACCTGTTACTGGTCTTTGTGGGCTGAACAGGATGCTCCGAGCCTGTCTGACTGATTCCTGTCAGCGTGACGCCTTCGGATGGTTTCTTCTTCTCTCTTCTGCTGAGGGTTCGGTTCAGGTCTGTAGACCATTCCTAGAAGATAAACGCATCACGATCAAACGGCAAACTCGACGTGGCGCCACGATTAGCCAACCGACAGAAGGAGCTCATTTAAATTAACCAAGAGAGTGAACATCTCACAGACATGTGCACAGCAGTAAACATGTCAACAAAGTCCCAATCAGTGACACGATCTTCAATGGGGCACACTGACTTGATTTTAAAGCTGTGCATGTGTGTGTGTGTGTGTGTGTGTGTGTGTGTGTGTGTGTGAAGAACAAAATAACATAAAAGATAAAGTCACACAGTTTCCATCACCTGTTGAGAGAGATTTGCCACCAGATGCAGGCTAGTCAGAGGAAATGAAGAATCCATATCTCCACCAGTATGAGATGTATACATCTAAATACATTTGAGGTCGGACACACTTATTTTGAAGGGCCACCAAACCTTGGCACGAGTTAAAGGTGCACTACGAGATGATTTTATTCTTTCTGAAAACACACTATTCTAAGGTCCCACCCCCTTTCTTCAGGCTTCCCCGTGAGCAGCACCTCTAGAATACATCTCATACCCCACCTCTAACAATAAATGTCATGAATATCTATTATTTTGTAACGATAGCTGAGGTTTTACTCATAATATCAGGGAACAAACGCTATGTACTTTATGATCTACAAAAGAACAGAACAAACAAACCCATTCTCAGAGGATAATAATGGAGATATCTGGACTTTTTAGAGATCAACATGTCCTTCTGTTTGGCTCACATCAAGAACCATAAACAATAATGACTATTGGCCATTTGCTTCATTCTAGCAGCACCAAAATCCAGGAAGCCATGGTGAGAGAGCTGCTATTACCAAAGGAAGCGGAAGCTGACGCAAGACACATTTGCGCAAGTATCTAAAAATGCAAAGGATATAAATAGTGCAGTGGAAAACATTGTAATGTGCCCATGAATAATGGATTAATATTTGTTCCAATTAACATTCCCTACAGGTATTATATGGGATACGAGATCCAAACAGAATCACAAACACATTAATAGAAGCAGTAAAGCATCAGAGTGTTAGTGGGACTGTAGCAGTAAAAGGACAGCTGTCCTGAGCACAACTCACTATGGTGGACCTTCTCTTAAAGGAGCGAGGATGTGACACCTTCAATTTCTGTCAGACATGAGGAGAGGGAGGCAAGCGTGGTTAGAAACAAAAAGGTTTCATGCTGCAGCAAACATTTAAAAGCTCGCAGGGCGGTTAAGACAAACATGCTGCTCTACCTTTAAAAGACGATTTTTAAAAGGACAAAACCAGAGAGAAAAGGTCAAAGAAGTCACTAAGTCTGCTGAAGTTTTCAACAGCTCAATAACATACAGCAGTGCCAGGACATGCAGCGTTTCTTCTACTGTCAACATTTTTTAAGTTATTTCATACTTGGAGAAGCAACATTATTTATTTTCTTCTGAAAGCCGCTGTCACCTCAAAGGAAAGACTTTCCTCCACCCTTCGTGTCAAACAAAAGATCTCAATGATTAAATAAAAGTTAAACACAAAATCTAACTGTTGCTAGGGAGGATTTCTTTTACTCCCCGTCTCCACCTTGAACCGTCACCATATCGTGGTGGAGGAGTTTAAGTGCCCTAATGATCCTAGGAGCCATGTTGTCTGGGGCAATTTGTGCCCCTGGCAGGGTCTCCCATGACAAATTGGTCTTAGGTGAAGGGTGAGACAAAGAACGGTTCAGAGGATCTTTCATGGATGTAAATTCAAAGAGTCGGGAGTACCCGGCCCGGAGGGTTACCGGGGTCCCACCCTGGAGCCAGACCTGGGGTTTGGGCCCGTGAGCGAGCGTCTGGTGGCCGGGCTTTCGCCCATGGGGCCCGGCCGGGCCCAGCCTGAAGCGGACACATGGGCTCATCCAACTGAGGACCCAGCACCCGCAGGAGGAACATGAAGGGTCCGATGCAGTGTGGATCGGGTGGCAGACCGAGGCGGGAGCCTTGGCGGTCCGATCCCTGGACAAGGAAATTGGTTTTTGGGACACGGAACGTTACCTCACTGGCTGGAGGGGTGTGATTGGGAGGAACGGCCCGCCTGATCTGAACTTGAGTGGTGTTTCATTATTGGACTTCTGTGCAAGCTGCAGTTTGGCCATAAGGAACACCATGTTCGAACATAAGGATGCCTATCGGTACACTTGGTACCAGGGTAGCCTAGGTCGCAAGTCGATGATAGATTTTGTAGTCCTATCATCTGACCTGTGGCCGTATGTTTTGGACACCCGAGTGGAGAGGAGCAAAGCTGTCGATTGATCACCACCTGGTGGTGAGTTGGATTAGATGGCAAGGGAAGAAGCCACGTAGACCTGGCAGGCCCAAACGCATAGTGAGGGTCTGCTGGGAACGCTTGGCAGAAGAACCTGTCAAGACGGTCTTCAACTCCCCACCTCCGACAGAGCTTTTTGTCCCGAGAGCAGTGGGGGACATTGACTCCGAGTGGGCCTTGTTCCACTCTGCGATTGTTGAGGCGGCTGTTGCTAGCTGTGGTCGCAAGGTGGCTGGTGCCAATCGTAGCGGCAACCCCCGTACCCGCTGGTGGACACCAGAGGTTCGGGGAGCACTCAGGCTGAAGAAGGAGGCCTACAGGGCGTGGCTGGTCTGTGGGTCTCCGGAGGCAGCTGACAGGTACCGGATAGCCAAGCGGGGTGCAGCAGTGGCAGTTGCCGAGGCAAAATCTCGGGTGTGGGAGGAGTTTTGTGAGGCCATGGAGAAAGACTATCAATCAGCGCCAAAGAGGTTCTGGCAAACTATCCAGCGCCTCAGGAGAGGGAGGCAGCAACTCGCTCAAACTGTTTACAGTGGGAATGGGGAGCTGCTGACGTCAACTGGGGCTATAGTTGGGCGGTGGAAGGAATACTTTGAGGAGCTCCTCAATCCCACCTACGTGCATTCCAAGGAGGAACCAGAGCCGGGAGACCTGGGGATGGGCTGTCCAATCTCTGGGGAAGAAGTTGCTGAGGTAGTCAAACAACTAAACGGTGGCAGAGACACGGGGGTGGATGAGATTCGTCCTGGGTATCTCAAGGCTATGGATGTGGTAGGGCTGTCGTGGTTGACACGTCTCTGCAACATTGCATGGTCATCGGGAGCAGTTCCTGTGGAGTGGCAGGCCGGGGTGGTGGTCCCCATCTTTAAGAAGGGTGACCTGTGGGTGTGTTCCAGCTATAGGGGGATCACACTCCTCAGCCTCCCTGGAAAGGTCTACTCCAAGGTACTGGAGAGGAGGGTCCGATCGATAGTTGGATCTCAGATTGAGGAGGAGCAATGTGGTTTTCGTCCTGGCCGTGGAACTGTGGACCAGCTCTATACCCTTGCAAGGGTGATGGAGGGGGCATGGGAGTTTGTCCAACCAATCCACATGTGTTTTGTGGATTTGGAGAAGGCTTATGACCGTGTTCCCAGTGGGCACCCAGTGGGGGACGTTCCAGGAGTATGGGGTGGGTGGATAATTGTTAAGGGCCATTCAGTCCCTTTACCACAAGGGTGTGAGTTTGGTCCACATAGTCGGTAGTAAGTCGGACCTGTTCCTGGTGAGGGTTGGCTGCCCTTTGTCACCGGTTCTGTTCATTACCTTTATGGACAGAATTTATAGGCGCAGCCGTGGTGTGGAGTGTGTCGAGTTTGGTGGCAGGAGAATCTCGATTTTTGCGGATGATGTGGTCCTCCTAGCTTCATCCAGCTCTGACGTTCAGCTCTTGCTGGGTAGGTTCGCGGCCGAGTGTGAAGCGGCTGGGATGAGGATCAGCACCTCCAAATCTGAGACCATGGTTCTCGACTGGAAAAGGGTGGCTTGCCAACTCCGGGTCGGGAGAGAGGTCCTACCTCAATACAAGCGGTCAAGATGAGTTTCCTCCATAGGGTAGCCGGGCTCAGCCTTAGAGATAGGGTGAGGAGCTCGGACATTCGGGAGGGACTCTCGAGTAGAACCGCTGCACCTCCAGATCGAAAGGAGTCAGTTGAGGTGGTTTGGGCATCTGGTCAGGATGCCTCCTGGACGTCTCCCTGGGGAGGTGTTTCGGGCATGTCCTGCCGGCAGGAGGCCCCCGGGTCCACCCAGGACAAGTTAGAGAGGTTACATCTCCAATCTGGTCTGGGAACGCCTTGGGGTCCTGCCGGAGGAGCTGGTGGAGGTGGCTGGGGAGAGGATGGTATGGAACTCCCTTAGTTGTGATGCTGCTCCCGCGACCCGGACCCGGATAAGCGGAGGAAGACGACAATTTCTTTTACAAAGTAGAGAGCTGCTCGAAAACATTTCTTCCTCTTTGACCATTTTCAAGTATTGATTTTTTTTTCCTAATCGGTCCTTCTGAGAGTTCTTGGAAGATCATAATTCCTAAGATCCCGCTCACACGGCAGGATAACCACGCTGACTTATGACCCGACCCTCCTCTTTAAACAATCTTAAGCACGCGTCCGTAATCGGCACGAAAGATGACCTCATCAGATATTCCTGCCGTGTGTGGAATGTGAAGAGGACTCTGGGCTGCTCAGGACGTCGGGATCACGTCGATCATAAATTAAAGACGTCCAACACCTTGGATTGTCTTGGTCTGACATTGAGGACAAACAAGCGTGCTGCCTGTTGAATGTAATGTTTAGCCAGTCAGAGAGCAGGTGACCAAACAGCGCTGCACACTCCTCCATGTTTATTTACTCACGTTTGATCTCAAGAGGTTTTGTTATATTTTTGAGATTTTCCAACAGATTTGGGAATGTTGCTGAGTGAATCTGGTTCGTGAGTGGTGTGTAGTTTTAGCCATACACTGTAGTGTTACATCCGTCATGTTTTATCGCCAAGTGTGGGACCCTTATGTTTTAAAAATCGCCCGGCAAGTTTGAAATCCTGCCGTGTGAACGGGGCCTAGGGGAAAATGCTTGGACGTGGACTATAGTTGCTCACTTTTGTCTCAAATTCCTTAGATGATGGTTTTAAACATTTTTTAATGAATTCGAGTTTAAGATGTGATGCAGTACCTCAAACTAGGGCTGTCACGGTAACCGCAAAAATGAAATATCGTAATATGAAGAAGCCCACCGCGCTGCATCATGGGCCACCGCGATTACTGAACGGGATTCAACTCAATGATGCATGTTGAGAAGGATGGCTGCACTGGTATCAAAACGAAACGTTACTTCGCTCCTTTGGGAGCACTTTGGTTTTTAGTACGTCAGCTGCTGCGCAGCCAGAGTCCTTGGCCGAGACAGAGCTGCCACCAGCGGCAAAAAAATAATAATAAACGCTCGGAGACCTGCTGAAGTCCCGGAAAAGCACTGCTTCTGCAACCGTCCCGAAGAGAGCTTGAGCTGAGCTGGAGCTCACTCGCTACCTGCAGGAGGAATGCATCCACCCTAAAGAAAACCCCCTGACATGGTGGAGCAACAACCGGGAGAGATTCCCTTTGCTCGCCAGAGTCGCACGCAAGTACGTGTGCGTTAAAGTTTCTCACTCCCCCTCATTTTCTCTCTTTTATGTTTGTTTGTGACCTCTCCTCCTGAATCAGTGTGTCTGGTTAAGTGCAACGAGCGCACCATCCGAGAGGGTTTTCAGTGTTGCTGGAAATGTTGCCACCCCTCTCAGATCCTCTCTCAAACCGTATATGGTTAACATGCTGGTTTTCCTTGTAGGTAACAAGGACGTGACCGAGCTATAAATCACCGTCATTCGTGTGTGTGAAAGTGAAAGTGAAATGATAGTGCCCCGCGCCCGGTACATGTAATTTTTTATGCTTGATTTTAAACAACTAAACAAAATGTGGACTTGTTTCTTATTTGTTAGATGCTGCAGCCAAATTTGCATTTAAAAGTTTAACCTCCTGCATTTTGTTGTTTTTAAGTTCAGTCGGACTCCGACTGTCGGAGAAACAAACGTTACTGCGATCTGTGTTGTTACTGCCCTTTGATCTGCATTCAGTAAAGTGTTATAAAAGAAGGCATGGCAATTTTTAACCTTTTTTAAATGTGTAAACATTATGTTTAGATAGTACTGCAATAAAAAAGTGCTGCAATAATATCGCACACCGCAATATTAAGCCACCCTGAATCACAGCAGGGGGAATTCCTCAACCGCGACAGCCCTACCTCAAACGTGGGCCAGTTCATTGGCATGCCAGGCCCGTGATTGGACCGGAACCATTTCAGGTCTTCGTCAGCATCTGTAGCAGAGACCGTGTCCTCCAGTGTGTGGTAGATTGTCTGGAAGCTTAAAACCGTGAAAGAAATCATACATTTTTGGCATAATAACTGAAATCCAAATATTTCCCACCAGATTTTAAAAAATGAATCATGTATTTAAAAAAAGGAGCTAAAATAAACTTCTGGATTATGTCATCTGTCTGACCTTGGATTGGTTGAGAGGTCCAGGTGCTGCTTAACCTCCAGCAGCACCTCTTTGAAAAAGCGGATCCGTTTGTCCTCAAACTGCTGGGATTGCTCAAACACCTGCTCCATGTTCTCCATGTACTGAGGGGTCAACTTGTTGAGCTCTTCCAAGGTTTTCTCGTAGCGTTCTTTAGCCTAGAATGAAAAATAGGGTTACGTGATATTTGCTGAAGAAGAAAAAAAAAAGAAAGTGATACTTTGGGACATGAGATCCTACCTTCTGCACCTCCTGCTGACATTTCTCCACTTTTTCCTGGAGTTTCTTTTGAGTTTCAGGGTTGTTGTTGCTCTCTAGTTTGCTGTTCGTTTCCCTGCTGGCTGCCAGTTTTTCTTCTTTACATGCTGAGTGGTAGGCCTTCTTCATGGTCTCCACCTGCAGGAGTGGATCGGTAAATCAAAACAGATGAGTGGAAGTTTAGATGACTGGTGGGACTCACAGAATTACAAATCTCTTGTGAGAAGTTGTCCAATAACTTCCAAGCAAAAATATTATTCTGATAATTTACAGAGTTTATTGTTTACAGCTTTGCTAAATATCATTACAAGTTGGTTCACTTTTGAGGGACTTGCATCGAGATTTGCTCGTTTTCCTCAAACACTCAGTCACCAGTGTGTGTGTGTGTGTGTGTGGGAAGTTTCATATGATTAATTTATGACCAGAGGAATTTACCACTCTAGCAGGACTTTGTTATATTTAACAGCTAGGAAATGAGGAAGTGAACTCCATACTGCTTCTATTTGAAGAATGTCTTAGTCAAACTAAGGTGTGACTTGGCCTGAAGACACATCTCACTTAAACAATTTGCACTCTAACAGGAAGTTGTTTTACTTGTACAAGCGAGGCAAATGCATCCAGTTCAGAACGTTTTTACCAATTATAAAGCTGATTAGTCTAATTTCCTATTTGCCCTTTATCACTTGTCCCTGGCCAATCAGTAAAGGTACCCTCGATCACAACAGGATGCCAGCACCCCCACACCCACCACCCGTTACTGCAGACACAGGAAACATGAGGAAGATGGTGGTTTTACGTGGACTACGTAGGAATGTAAAACCTGACAAGGAGAAGTGTCTCTAAATGAGCACACGAGTAGCTAAAACACTGACCTAATTTGAGCCGAGAGGTGCTTGTTTTCTTGCAAACCTTCACCATTTCCTTCGTTTTTACAGACGTAAACGCAGAAAACTGGATTGTAAAAGGTCAGACAACATCGTTTTGTTTATAATCAGCCCTTAAATGTTGACGAAACCCTTTGTGGTTTGTTTAAATGTTACCATAGAGAGAATATGTTGAGTCACTACTGGAGGATAAAATTAACTGTAATGAAGTGAAATGTCTAATTAACCAGCTTGCTGTCACTACTTATATTTTGAAAAGGATAATAGCTGGAAGAAGTTACAACACATCATCAGTTTCAGGCGATCAAACTTCTGGTGAGTAGTCAAGAATTCCCACCTCTTTCAGTTTCTTGGCCCATGGTTTCTGGGCCTTGCGGAAGCCGTCCTCTGCCTCTTTCGTTTCTTTGAAGCCACCAATCATCTGCTTGTGATACGAGTCTTTCTGCCAATTCTTCAACTTCTCATAATCTTCGCCCATTAATGCAGATTTCATGTCCACATGGAGCTCGCTGACCTTCTCTGCCTCTGTGCACAGAGCCGACCACGCAAGCTCTAACGAGCCATACTGAGGACCTGCGGACAGTTATAAACCTTTAGGTATTAGCTAATGCTGCCAAAATTAGTCAATTAGTTATGAAATCGTCAGTGACAAATGTAATAATCACAGTCACATTTACATTTTTTGACACTTTGTTTTTCTCTCTAAACTGCCGATGTACCCTCTACTGCTTCGTTTTGCCTTTTTGAGATCAGCCGTGACGTCACCGGCGCGGAGATGAAAGATTTGAGAGCCTTTTATAAAAATTCAAGAGAAGTATGTGCAATGCAAAATCTGTAAGGAAGAACCTGCCTTCCATGGCAGCAACTAAGACGGAGATACATGAGCACCTTAAAAGGAAGCACACTGTCGCCTTGTAAGCTAATTAGTTCATTAGTCACCAAAACAGGTGACTAGTCTATTATCAAAATAATCATCTGTAGCAGCCCTAGAATGAGTTCCTCATTCATTGGTTCATTTATAGTTCTACGTGAATAAAATGCTGTGGTTCTGACAGATTTTCACAGAGTGAAGAGCACAATTAGGCGAGAATCTAAACAGCAGAACCTCTGCATCCCCAGCCAGTATTGTGGCGGGCCCATCACAGTGCATTTATTTAGAAAAACGATGCATTTTCGTCTTCTTCCACATTGTATGGCGAACTGCCCCGTTGACCAACATCCACAGCGGTCCAATCACAGCGCTTAATTGGTTTGGTGGGCCTATCACAGATCTCTGTTGGTGGGCAGGATGTTACTGAAAAAACAAAGATGGCGACGACTCATTTGAAACGGCTTAGCCATCAAATTTGGACTACCTTGACTTGGGCTTTTCTTTGACCCAAGAGCAGATAGAGGTACTCGAGTTTATTTAGAAGAAGGATGTATTTGCATCTTAATTGACAGAGTATGGTGGGCTGCCTCGTTGACCGACATCGGTAGCGGTGCGTACGTCACATTGTTTGCTTTCCAATAGCATGCAGAGACAGTTTGAAAGACAACTGTAGATCCCGCCCCATGACTGAGAGCCATATATAGGATAGCTTGCCAGGCTGGAGCACAATACCGGGACTGTACAAATAGAATTATTAGTCTCATTCTTCAGCATCATTTGCGTGTTTTTACTCATTCTTACCTTTGTCTATAAGTTGCCGCCAGCGCTTTCCCCATTCTGTGAGCTGCTGCGCGTAAGCCTTTTCAATCCGAGCCCGTTCATGAAGACAGGTCATCAGATCATTACAGAGACGATTGCCATCATCTATACGCTTTACTGTTCGCTTGTAATTCCCAATCTGAGAACAAACCCCCCCCACACACAAAAAAAACAGATGTATTTTGGTACATCACCACTTTTCCGTGAAGGTGTCCGTCCTGAAATAAACTTGTTTCTAAAAGTCTAACTAAGCAAAAGCAGCAATTTTGCTTACAGATAAAAATACTATTGCTGATAATCATTACCGAATGCATTCCTTTTTTAAATATTAGTTCAATGTCTCTAAATGCTAGCTAGAGATGTAAAGATTTAAAGGCACTCTGTGGAAAAGCATCGCTAAGGTCTCACCTCCCAGAAGCTATCACTGGAGACATCAATCATGGAGTCATCGTAGGCGCCCGACATCGCTGAAGCCAAAACGTGCACACAGTGTGTTGGGCCTGCAAAGCAACAGAAACAGGAGACGAGTTCTAACAAATCTCAGGATGTTGCTTAAAAACATTCTTGTGTCAAATACAAAAACAAAACCACCACCATCACTAAACGCAATTTTAGGAAATAACTAAAGTGATGCTTCTTAGTCACATGTAAGTAGTAAGTAAGTAACTTTATTTCTATAGCACCTCTCACAGACAAAAAGGTCACAAAGTGCTTCACAAGTTAAAAGGCAACAACATATAAATACAGTAAAATACAGCCACAATATACATAGTGTCAAATAAAACCAATCTGAATGAGACTAAGTTTAAAATGCCTGGAGAAACAAATGGGTTTTAAGATTGCTCTTAAAAACATCAACTGAGTCGATTGAGTGTAAAGACAGAGGTAGCTAGATGTAAAAGATGCTAAAGGCCTAACAGAATAAAATATATCAAATATAACAAGTATTGATTTATTACAAATGAGCTTAAATACAAGAGAAGAAGGAAGACATGTGTTTGAGTTCACCACACTTGTTCACTGTCCTGGTATGATGCAGACTAAGCGAGGAGTCAAAACTGTAATCCTCAGGTAAAAACCGAAACCCTTCAGGGACAAGATGGAAGATGTTTGGTTTATTTATCTAAAAAGCAGGTTGATGTTTCCACTCTTAATGACTTACTCAACCTCAACACACAACAAACTGAAGCCACAGTGGTCTGTGGCAGCACACAAAGCCCCTACTCTGACAGAGATAAAGGAAAGAGACCGACGAGGACACACAGCGAGCAGCTTCCGTTTCCTTCAGACCGGCACAACAGTCAGGCCTCTGTTACTCCTCTCCCCTCACGTCTATCACTCGGCCGCCCCCATCCAAACACTCCCTCTCCTCCCTCCTCTGTTCAGTGTCTTAATCATCTCCCCTCCTCTCTTCTTCCTGCAGCCTTCAGAACGAGTCTCGTGAGGCTGTATTTTCAGATTGTGGTTACGTGGAGCTGCCACTGGTAATCTGCATGCATCAACATGCAAGTGAATACTACAGAGATCATTTATTTTACAGCCAAAATTCAATGATCAAGGAAAACCATAGAACAATACCAAAACAGTAGCAGCTTAGCAGTGACACCAGTATGTCATTGGTGGTCAATTTCTCTAATAATCAAAAAAATCTGTTGGGTTTTTCCTACATTTTCTAAACCACTAAACAAAAGCTTTTTAGGGTTTTTAGAAAACCCAAACATTTTATCTGAACAATGTAAAATTTGGGCTCTGCATCAAATAATCTAGCTAAGTATTTTCAAATATTTCTGGATTTCTGTTGCAAAATTCAAATATTTGTTGATTCACTAAAAAACAATTATGCCATGTCATTTATTTCCCTTCCTAGACAGCTCTGACATATGATTTAAGCTTATTTAAATAAAAAAAAAAACATCATTTCAAATTTAAACTAGGGTTAACATAGGACTGAATCACACAAGATGCACGCTGGTGCCAAGTGAGATCACACAGAGCCTCTTTCAGTGGAGTGGGAGGGCGGGAAGGATGAAGGCTACTGCTCTCAGTGTGTGTCTTCTTCAATGGTCAGTGGTCCGTGCCCTCCGGGGCAAGTCTAGGACAGAGGACAGCTTTGTGGTTACCAGAGAGCAGGGAGGCAAACGAACAATTATTCCTTTAACTGCCTTGAGTCTACAGTCAGGTCAGTCAAACTGAAGAAATGTAAGTTTTGTTGTCTCTAGTAAGAATGAATGTCTTGTGTTGTTTTATGTGGAAATAAAACTCTGGCATTCCCATTTCAGGAAGAATGAGTTTGTCTGGGGGATGACGGGATTACAAGTCTCATTAATATGCATCCATCCATCCATCCAGCCATCCATCTAGGGATGCACCGATCAGGTTTTTTGCTGCCGATCACTGATACCGATATCAAAGAATGCTGATCACCGATACCGATCACCGATACCGATCACGTGGATTGGCCAGAAATTTTCTACAACATTATAATGAGTGCTACAAACTACATAATCTGGGAATAAAGGAAATGTAACCTAATCTAAAATGGTCTGTATTAGGGTTGTCACGGTGTGAAAATTTAACCTCACGGTTATTGTGACCAAAATTACCACGGTTTTCGGTATTATCGCCGTATTTTTTTTAAACGTGCTACATTTTCACACAATTAAATAAACCCTGTATATCAGGAAATATTGTCCTCAGTTTGTGTCTAAATTTTGCCTAAAATGTGTTATTTTGTAATTATGTTGTTTATTTGTTTACATTTTTTCCCTTTAGTCTTTAAAATACCAATATTTGCCCATAACTTCTTATTTTATGTCTGTTTGATGTCATCATTTAAAAATATTAGACCAGATGATACTCAGTACTCAAGTAGCCTTCTAATCAGATACTTTTTACCCTTACTTGAGTAATAAACCCTATATCAGGAAAATATTGTCCTCGGTTTGTGTCCTTCCAGTGAGCTTTGCAGATGTGGGGAAATGTCATCAGGCAGTAATCATTGTTAAATTCATAATTATTCTCGGAGAGAGACCAACTCTTATCTGCCTCTGGGAGCCCCGTAATGCATAGCGTCATTTCAACATGGGGGTGTCCACGACACGGTTTATATGCAGGTAGCGGCGCTGCGGCTGCTTTATATAGCGACTCGTTGCATTCTCCCTCAACCCAAATCCTCGGATCACGCATTTTAGCTAAAACGCTAACGTTAACTTGCCTTGCGTTGACTGTAGAGTTGTGGGTTATGGTCACGCAGATGTGTCATGAGATTTGAAGCGTTGCTGCCTTTCACAGACACTTTTTCGGCTCGTGCTGCAAACAGGATAGCCGTCTTCTATAAACTCCCTCGACATTCTTCAAATATCTAAAATATGCCCGTACTTCCGACTTTGTCTTCTTTGAGGGATAATAAATGTCCTCCTGAGCGCTGCCGTCTCCTCCTTTGACCATTATTTCAGCTTTAGCTTCAAGAAAGTTTTGTTGTAAACAAAGCGTGCATGTGCCGCCGGCAACTTCAGCCGATGATACGGTGGCTGGTAAGGGTCACCGCGTCTACACCGCAGCCACGGTAAACCCACCAAGATAATATAGTTTTTTAAAAAACAAGACGGTTATTATTATTGTCAACTTTTATTTTTTTTACCGGGGTTTACCGCTACACTGGTTACCGTGACAACCCTACCTGATTGGTCTGCTTTGATCTATTTTGAAAATTCCGATCAAAACCGATAGGGGCGCTATCGGCCGATTACGATCAAATGCCGATCCATCGGTGCATCCCTACATCCATCCATCCATAGCCGCTTATCCAGGGTCGAGTTGCGGTGGCTGCAGCCTAAGCAGGAAGGCCCAGACTTTATTCTCCCCAGCCACTTTGGCCAGCTCCTCCGTGGAATCCCAAGGCGTTCCCTGGCCAGCCAAGAGACACAGTCCCTCTAGCGTGTCCTGGGTCTTTCTTTAAGCCTCCTCCCGGTTGCACGTGCCCAGAAAGCCTCACCAGGGAGGTGTCCAGGAGGCATCCTAACTTGATGCCCGAGCCACTTCCATTGGCTCCTCTCGATGTGGAAGAGCAGCGGGTCTGCTCCGAGCCCCTCCTGGATGACCGAGCATCTCACCCTGTCTCTAAGGGAGAGCCCAGCCACCCTGCAGAGAAATCTCATTTTGGCCGTTTGTATCTGCGATCTCATTCTTTTGGTTGCTCCTCAAAGCTACCATAGGTGAGGGTAGGAGTGTAGATCAACCGGTAATCGAGAGCTTTGCCTTCTAGCTCAGCTGGAAGCTCTCTCTTCACCATGACAGGTTGGTACAAGGCCCGCATCAGTGCAGACGCCGCAGCAATCACCTCCAATGCATTAATATGCATTATATGCTAATTTATCTCCAGTGATTGGCCAACAGTAAAACAACTCTTCAGCTGCCTCCATTTGCTCATCCTTTTGGGTAAAAAAATGCAACGTGGATGTTTTGTCTCCACAAGTAAAGCAAACATGCATGTGCTCTATTAAAACAAGTTAAAACACTCTAACAAGCAGAACAATGTTTAAAATTAAACATTAAACAGGGCTAATTGAATGAAAAACATCAATTTTCTTTATTCTTGTTCCACGTGTATAGGGTTGTCACGGTAACCGGTATAGCGGTAAACCCCGGTAAAAAAGTTGACAATAAAAATAACCGTCCAGTTTTTAAAAAACTATATTATCTCGGTGGGTTTACCGTGGCCGCGGTTTCGGCGCGATGACCCTTACCAGCCACCGTCGCTTCAGCTGAAGTTCCCGCGGCGCGCACACGCACTTTTTAGTTTGCAACGGCACCAAAACTTTGAAGCTGAAATAATGGCCGAAGGAGGAGACGGCAGCGCCCAGGACATCCATCAGCCCTCAAAGAAGACTAAATCGGAAGTATGGGCATATTTGGGATTTCTGAAAAATGCTGAGGGACAGTTAATAGAAGACGGCTATCCCGTTTGCAGAACGTGCAGGAAGCAAGTGTCAGCAAAAGGTAACACTTCGAATCTAATGGTACATCTGTGTGACGATCACCCACGTCTCTACAGCCAGTGCAAGGTAAGTTAACATTAGCATTTTAGCTTAAATGCATGACGTGAGGACTTTTGGTTGAGGGAGAATGCAACGAGTCACTATAGACTGCAGCCGCAGCGTCCTCTGCCAGCATTTAAACCGTGTCACGGACACCCTGTTGCTGGATGAAGCATCTTATTTGTTGATGATGAAGAGAAATATACAATTAGTTCCTTGTCATTGATTTGTTTACTTATTCAATGCCATTTATACTTGAACATTTGGATTTGATTACATAGTGTAGTAGTTATTTTAGTAATTTGTTTAAAGTGGCTATTTATTTTAAATACATATTTTTTAAGGTTGACTTGTACAGTGCTCAAGTCAAGTGTGGACTGGAGTTTTAGATTTTCATTTTGATAATGAAGAAAACAAGTATATGAGAAAACAAGTGGTGTTTCTTTGATTTGTTTACATATTGT